CGAAAAGCATCCGACGAAGCGTTTGGCGCTCGTCCGGGCGAAAGACCCGCTCGGCGAGGGCCTCGCAGTGCTCCAGCGCCAAAAGCACGCGATAGAGCTCCGCCTCGACCGCGGCTTCGGCGGGGTCGGCGTCGGGTTTCGAAGGCGAGGACGGCGATTCCCCGCCGGCCCCGTCCTCGGCCTCATCCACCAGATGATGCGCGATCTCGCGAATGATGGATTTCAGGCGTTGGCTGGACCGAGCCGAGGGCTTCGCGCCGCCGTCCCTGCTTGTTTGGCGATCGTCTAAGGCGTTGGATAGCTTTTCGTCCTGCAAAAGCAAGGCTTTCACTAAATACTTTACATAAGGGGGTCGGTTCTCCTCGGAAGTGCGGTTTAACCACGCTATGAGCCCCTGCCGTGTGGTGGGGCGAAGGGCTTCCTTTTTCCCTTTCAGATTACTATGACTTGCCGCGCACTCGCCTAAAAGATCTAAAAAAAGACGAGATTCGGATGACGTTCGCATTTTTTCCTCATCCTCCTCCCTCTTTTCTTGCATATTTTCATTGTTAAAAGATTCTTTTTCATTATCGAAAAATGGATCTTCTGATAGAACAGACATTAGCGAAGTATCCGCCGTCCATAGGCTTTTGGATGATTGTCCCCAATGATACCTTTCAGCCATGGAAAGTTTAAGGTAGAAAAAAAGACTTTTTGGGTGTGTGTGTTGTGTGCGTGCTTAGATATAAATCAACTAGCTAAAAACAAAACCACACGCTATTAAACAATCATAATATGAAGATTGGTTCATTAAAAAGAAGTAAAATAGTGGAATAAAAGGAAATCTAACAGAAAAGGAAAGATTATCAACTTTTATTATCAAGAAGAAGTACTTGAATTACCTAGTTTAATAGCGTCATTTAAACCTCAGTACGATAATGAAATTCGAAACTAGGTTATTATATATATATCCATCTATATATATATTTACGTGTGTGTGTTTCTGTATTTCAAACAAGCCCTATTATTATTTCATCTACCGACCCCCTCTCTAAAGGAAGCGTCGATTGATAACCATCCCCAGTCAAATAACAAGAGCAGCAGGCTTAAGGGGAAAAAAACGCCTTTTATGTTCATCTTCAAGTTTGCTGTTGTTGTTGGTGCTGCATAATTTGGGCCTGTTTTTCCTGCATTTTATGATAAATCTCCTGGGCCTTTGTCTGGAGTTGGGTCTCTTTCTTGTCCAATTCTGCGATGTTGTTATCCACCTTTTTGATTTCCCCGTTAATGTACTCCAGACGATTATCGACGATCGCCCGCCCGTCGTTGGGGTCCTGCGGAACCAAGGCGGGCCCAATCAGTTTGTAGACCATCGCCTCGGGCTCTAAATTGTTAAACTCCGCCTTTACTAGTTCGTTCTCGTTTTTTTGCCCGCCAAGCTGACGCCGAGATTCGATCAATTTGCCCTTTTTCTCACCAAGTTCCTGGGCTTCTTTCAGAATGGGCCGGAGCTGATCGTTCAGGCTGCGTATTTCAGGATGAAGTTGCTGCATTTGTATGGTAGGAAAGAAAAATTCCTGAAGTTATGGATGCGGGCGCTAGGACACTTGGGTTATGATTACTTTTTTTTCGACTGAATAAATGAAGACACTGTCGTGGAATGGGAATTAAGGAAATCAATACATCAAAACAGTCTATATCAATAATAGGAAAGCAAATGATGAACAAAAGAAAAGACTTACCTAAATATTCATCTATTTCTATATAGATTGATATAAATAGAGTTATTTGTATAAATAGAGGTATATGCCTAAACGTCCCTAAACATATTCATACAAAAGAACAAAAAAATTCCATTAATAATGTTTCTAACACTCATTTTTCCATATTTGTATTTTTTTTCATTGACCACGTTGAATACTTCGATCCATCTCCAAATCCAGCATATTTCCCACTGGCCAGGAATCGATTTGCTCTACGAACGGCAAGTATAAATACACCTTGTTTCTATACCGCTTATCCTGCTCTATAGGATTTCGCTCAAGATAGACCGTCCGGAGGGTTTTTTTAAGAGGCTCGAGCTTCTGCACCTCCCCCCACTCGCTAATCTTCCCGTCAGTAAGCCAAAATTCCTCCAGAAGTGGCATATTCGCGTAATTAATTACCTCTTCGTTGATGTGCTCAATGGGATTAAAGCTAAAATCAAGTGTACGAAGATTATAGAGGCAGATATGTTCAATTTCACTAATGCCATTTTCCGATAAATACAGCTCACGTAGGCAGGGGTGATATTCATTCTTAAAGCAATCCATATCCACGGCAAGAATTCGATTCGCCTGCAGGCTTAAAAGCTCCAACGAGCGTAAGGTGTGAAGACTATCTCCAATATTCACTATCTTATTCTTTCCAAGCCATAGCTGTTTGAGATTAACAAGATTTTTTAAGCCGGGTCCGATCTCACGGATATGATTTCCACCTAGTTCCAACAGAACCAAGTTGTGGAGCGCATCGAGACCTTGAATAACCTTAATTTTATTCTCCACAAGATATAATTCTTTGAGTGTTTCTCCCAACGTTTCCAGTCCAGATATCACGCGTATTTGATTATAACTAAAGTCGAGCTTAACTAGAGACGAGAAAGGCTTGCATTGTGGCTGCTTAATCCACTGCACGTTTTGATTCATAGAGGTTTCCACAAGGGCGGTTTCGAAAAAACTTCCCACCTTTTTAATCTTGTTGTCAAAAAAGTCGAGTTCCTCGAGGCGATTTGCCAAATGTATGGGAAGCGGTGAAAGCCCATGAATGAGATTTTTCCGCAACGAAAGAGATGTACAGCGAGTAAGCACGGTAAAGTCGACCTCGTCAAGCGAGAACAGACGAATATTACTGATCTCAACGCTCTCGCTCTCGATATTGATGCGAAGCACCTCGGAGGCCTCCCCCAGTTGTTTATTATGCGATAAGGACGGAGCATGGGTTGGATGTTCGACACTTTCATTATCGGATGCCCCCGCCTCGCCATCAGTCTGAGACTTTTTCACTTCGATGGACGATATTGCCGCGGCAAAGCCCTTTTGCATCGACGCTTTTTGCTTTTCGGTTGTTCCGCCAAACATGGTGCTATTCAATAACTACACAGTAATAATAGTAATAATAATAAAAGAAAAACGTGAAAAAAGTAGATGGATACTATAAAGACATCCTAACTCAGTCACGTTAGGTTTATTGGGTTATCAGTAATAATCGTCATAAATCAATAAAATGGAGGAAACCCCATAAAAGCGCATCGTTGGCATTCCTATTTCTCCGAAAGATTCGATGCGCTCGAGGCACCATTCGCCATGACAGACGACGTCTGTTGTGTTTTTTCCTCTTCTTTTTTGTGATTTCCCAGCGATTCAGGCCGTTCCCACATGGCGCCTTCACCAATTTCTTCTTTGGTATTTTCGCGAAGCCAATTCGCCACGACGAGAAGCTCTCGCAGCCTCCCGACGGCCACCCTCATTGCATTCGCGTTCAATACATAATCGTAATTATGGGGATGGACTTTTTCCCCGAGCGCCTTCAGACGTTTTACACGATCGACAACGACGCCGGAGTCGATCTCCCGCTTTCGCGTATCGGCAAAGATGATTAAATGATGTAAAATCATACTCCGCCCAAAGGCATCGAAAATATAATGCGGCATCGGCCCCATCCTCAGATTGATTGAGGATGGCTGCTCGAGCTCCGTGGCGTCGCGCGTTTCGTCCGGATCGGGCGAGGGAAGTGGCGGCATGCAGAGTAAATTCAAAAAATATTTCCAAAACGCCTCCCCCACTTGAAAACGGTAATAATGAATCGCAAGTGGAAGGCAGAGGCTTTTCATCGGGTCTTCGGTCGAATCGCCGTGCGTTTGTGCGGTCTGCGCCCGAGAAACCGCAGCCATTACCTCCTTCGCCAGCACCACATTCGTGCAGTGCTGCGTGTGAAAATCATCATTCCGAATACACTCAAATACCTGATGTAGTAAAAGAGGGCGTTCACGCGCGAAATATTCCGCCTGGGGAAAGGATTGATACTGCCCTAGGAGCGCGCGATAATAAATAACCTCCATATCATTCAGGACTGCCCACTTTGCCGCCGATTCGTACAAACCAGTTCGATACGTTGGGTCTAACAAGTTCGCCAAGTTGAGCAGCGAACTCACGGCAGCATCATCACAACGCAGGTTTACAAGCAGGGCGGCCCTCCACAAATACAAGGCCACCACCTCCTCTCGAAGCGCTTCACTTTCGGAAAGAGGATTCACACCCGAATACGAACTCTTCGAGCCCGTTTTGGAAGCACCGGGAATGAATTCTGGTATGGTATCGTTTTCTATCTCGAAGCCAGAGCTCAGCATCCTTCCCCCGGAGGCTTTCATTATATTGACGTCGACCAAGTGTTTTACCCCCTCCACCGCCTTTTCCAGTTGATCCCGATGTGCGAGATCGAGCAAAGCGCGAATTGCTGTATTTGTCGAATCCTTCGATTCAAAAGCGTATCGTTCCGACTTAATTTCAGCGCCTTTCATCATTGGGCGCATTGTAAAGCAGGTCGGAAATCGACAGGATGGAGATGCCGCACAGATGCACCGCCCTTCCCCTCCGCAGCGATACCTCAGGTCAAACGCTAGGCTACGAACGCCATGCTCACGACTTATTTCAGCTATCGAGTTTTTACCAATATCGTTTGGAAATCGAGAAGATCGAACAAAACCTTTTAACTCTTCCACATCTGGAGGGAATTCAACCGCCTCAAAGAAATCTCGGCAATCGCATGGCGCAATAGCGGCCTTTTTCTTGGGTTTTAGACGACTAGACAGGCTCGACAGGATCGATTTCATAGCTTTGAGAAAGTGAGTACGCTAGAAAAGTCTCCCATTGAGTGCATTCCTATGGAAAGGAAGAAAAAATCAAGATCATAATCATAAAAGTACCTTCTGAAACAGTAGAACGATAACCGATCACAAGTTCAGCTTATCTAAGAATTGCGGTAAACCATCAGGTAGAAAGGAATATATATCAGTATAAAATTCAGGTTTACATATTCAACCCGATCTTACTCATTTTGAAGAATTTTGTTCTCCCTTGACAATCACTAATAATGCAAAGATGTTGATAATAGTACTATGCTTTCTGAACCCCATCCTCTTGGCCCCATTCTTTTTCATTCCCTAAAAAGGTTTGCCGATACCCCGATGTTTTCTTCCCAATAGTTATTGAGTGGTAATAACAACGTACTCGTGCAAGCGGCTTCGCATTTGCTGCACAACACAATCTGATATCCACCTCAGGTTGTTAATCTCAAATTCCTTTAGCTTGACATAAGCGTAAAAAATCCCGTACTGGAATTGTCTCGTCATCGCATCGTTATATAAAACAATTGAATACTCGACAAAACTACGCTCCAATGACTTCTTATTAGACGAATCGATCGATCGATTGTCGTCTAGAAGTTGATAATAATTCGGAAAGCGCCGCAAACGCTCTCGCAGCTGCTCCACACTCTCACTTTCGGCGAGATCATCATGAATATCCACCAACGTACCGAGATTAGGAAAGACTTTTCGCCGATCCGACGGCGTGATTTCTCGCATCCCCAAGGTATTAATAATAAATGTTAACACCAACCGATCGGCCTCAAAATCTAACAACGGGCACATTACATCCCTTGTGGTCCCTCCCAGACGATCACAAAGGTCGTAAAACTGTTCATAGTAGCTTTTTAGCAAGGTTCCCTGGATAAATTCCACAGGGAGTTCATCCAAATCACGCTCAAAGCTCCCTTCGCAGCTAAAGAAACGACTTACCGGGCTATCCACGAGCACGGCCTCAAACATCTCCCGAACATCAGTCGCCGCGATGAGGGTAGGCATCTCCGGGAACGTCCCGAGAGGATGACATTTCGTCAGAAACTCCAAACTCGCCCGCCCGCTTCGTTTCGCAGTGACCAGCTTCAGGATATTCAAAATCTTGTACTCGTAGGTGATGAAATCAAGGAACTCGGAGAGCGGGGGCTGGGACCAGGCCTGAAGCTCGCGGAACTGTCGGAGCAAGACCTCCTGCGCGCGGTCCGCAAGCCCGCGGGCGGTGAGCACCCCCTCCTGTTGAAGGAAGTCCCCATAGTCGGTGACCTGGAGCTGGCTCTTGAGGTCGTGCAGAGTGTCACACTGGCACAGGCTGTTGTACTCCTCACTGCGCAGGAGCCCGTCACGGTAGCCCTGGACCATGGCTTCGAGGTGGCCCTCATAGAGGTTGTAAGTAAGCATGTTGCGAGCCATTTTGTGGGAGTGAATTGTAACAGAGGAGCTTTTTTTTTTGTGTGTGTGGGGGGGGGGGGATGAATAACGGAATGGGAAGGAAATTGAATATACACTTAAAGCAAGCTTGAGTTCTAGTGTAACAGAAAGGGGAGAAGAGAGGGAAGCGACCGACGTTAGAAAATAAAAAGACAGAGAGAAAGGATAATAAGCCAAGCTCTTTTCAGGTCATTAGACCCTATGGGTTAAGCCCATATAACAATCGAGATTTCCAGAACCGAAACCATCTTCTATAAAGGAATTTGGGTTCCTGTTTTAAAACCAGCCTTGATTTTTTTGATTATTGGTTCGCACTATTAGAAGGATTTCTTACTGAATAAATAGCAGATAAACAAAAGAAAGCATAAGGAGGAAGCCTTATGCGGAAGATTCCCTTCTCCTTGTATGCAATGTTTAAAAGATATTATATTACTAAGTGGTTACACCCGGCCCTAATTTGCATGGGGTTCCTCAAAAGGCTATGAGCACTGCTACAACGCTATGATCACCAAAACTCACTATCATGCCTAAGAGTGTCTTAATCATGAGATCCCACCGTTTTCTAATTTATTAAAGATATCCCTTTACCAAACAGCATTTTGCACACGATATCTGGTAAAGAGATAAATCTACTCCCGTGTATCTGAATTGATCGGAAAAATAATAGTGGAGGAATGTAGAGAGAGAAATTTCATTGTAACTGTAGGCTGAAAGAACGCTCCTCTATCATATATCTCCATTCAGAACCTGCTTCCTGCATCCAAAACATTTGTTTCTATAATAAACGAAAAGGCTAGAGTGTTTGAATCATTCTTAAAAAAAATTGGCGAGTTGCACGCAACCCTGACAGTGAAAATAGTATGTAGACTCTTTTATATTTCTAGTGAAAAATCAGAGAGAGAGATCACATAATAATAATAAGCTTCATCTAATCTGTGTACATATAGCCCAATTACAGGTGGACATATTGAATCAAGGGTCAAAATCTATGAATTTTACACAGTTAATGAGGTAAGGTAAAAGAAAATAAGGTTAATCACTACTATATCCTTTTATCCATATTACTCTGTTGGCGGTTTTATGCACATATTTATTCCTGATTAATTATATAAAGAAGATCGCATCGTGATCAAAAATCCTTTAAACAAGAAGTAATAGCCGTGAAGCAATATATTTCCCAACATTGATTGTGCTTCTTAATTAAAATCATGATTTAATACATAAAAATTACCAGCAATCACTCCCCAAAGGAATGACGAAAGTACATGTCACTTTTATGAAAGTGTAAAAGAAACGTATAATAAATTGATCAAAATTAAAGCACCAACAAAAAACTTGAGGCGCATATGGATACGTGTTGGTGTTAAATATAACGTGAGGTATAAAAAATCAGTAAAAGAATGAAGGAAAATATCATTGCTTCAAACATCTAATTTTTTCCATCGCAAAAATTATATACAATTCATAAATATATCTATGCATTTATAAAAATAATATTGTTTCCACTAATCCCAGAAACCTAAACGGCCTCACGGTAGTTATCTAGTTGTGATATAGATTGATTATTGTGTTCATTTTATTATTTTTATCATTATTGCTATGTTTTTTTCCCCCTAAATACTCTTTTCAAGGTTTTAATTTTTCACTAGTAACGGGTCATTATCTCCTTTGCGCTTTCAAGCACACTTTACATTTCAAAGTTCATCCAAATGTTTCCATGGTTCGGTAAACTGTTGATAGAATTATCCTCGCTTCTGGTATCATTAAACCTCACCAGAGAAGGTTCTCTAGAATGAGTAAGCTTCGCTCCAAAGTTAATCCCGTCAACGCTATCCCCAATTACACCTTCAGGGGGGACTTTGGTTCCCCAGCGCTTAAATCCATCATGACCGATCGACGGATGCCCTATCCAGGCGTCCGTGAGCGCTTGAATATCCAAATCCGGACCCTTCTCCTCCTCATCGTGCAGATCATCATCATTTTCGACAAATGGATTGTGAGAAGGGGTAGAGTTCGCCACCTTCGTCGTGGATTGCCCATCAGGCGGCATTATTATAAGCCCCGTAGAGTCCACCAAGGGGATCGGCTGGCAAAGTGTCGGCTGAGAAGGTGTTTTCACCGCCAATAACTGCGTCTTTTCTTCTGCCACTGAAATTGAGGAGGTTGGATTCGTCATGGAATTGCTGTTGTTAAGGGCCGATGCCATCGGAGGCCGAAGTTCCATACAGGAGTTGCTGTTGTAGGTCTCAATCGCCAAATCGGGCATTAAAACTCCAAAAAGACATCCGCGCTCCACAATCGACGCATTCGACGAGATATCAAAGTTTGCTATCTCAGAAGGGGTGGGTGAACGCAATACAGCATCTAGATATTGTTGATCATGGATGGGTTTACGCGCCGGGCTTGCGCGGGTTCCTGATAACAGTCCAATATCCCGCTCCAGGTGTATCTTTTGCTCCGCGGTTAAAGCATCCACGCTGGCAGAAGACGTGGAGGTGTCGGTACCATTCGATTGCTGTGGTTGCCGCATGAAATCAAAGGCGTTCGGGATGTGAGAAGCATTCCTGAAGTATTCCACAATGGCTTTCGCGCTTAGGCTTTCAGCAAACTCAACGAACACAAAGCACAACTTTCCGTGGTTGTTCAATGGAGCAGCGGCCTGGACGGCGCTTTCCTTATCATCATGGCAAAGACGAACCTTTGTGAAGGAACCGAAGTTCAAAAATAGACGACGCACCTGCGAGGCCGTAAAGGACGAGGGCAGCTTTGTAATATAGACGGTACACTCGCTGACATCGGAGCGGTGGTTAATAACCATTTGAGGCGGGCGTGGTGGCATTTCATTCCCGGCCTCCGCGTTAGACGGCGCGGTGGAGTTGGTTTCCGGCAAAGGTGCCGCCGAGCGCGTTGGATTGCCTGGAAGGACATGATGATCCCCCCCTTCGGTTACCGTGGTGCCGCGCGTGGACGGTGAGGGATTGCGCTTTCCCACCACCGTGGAGAAGGTCTGGAAGTAATGCGCCGCCTGAGGGCTCTGAGCGCTTAAATCGGACATAAACGAGTGAACCCGAGCGGAGCTGTGATCCACCGCACTTTCCAGCGAGATATTCGCCGAGACCCCCTGGGTTTGATTGCTTCCCGGCGTCAACATAACGCGCGGTGGGAGCGCCTGGGCGGAGTTGCTCACACCCTCAAGGGGAGTTTGTTTATATCGATTCCCACTCCCGCTTGTCATGGAGCCTTTGGTGACGCGAAGAGGGGTGGGGCGCGCGCTCGGCGTCAACAACGCTGAGGAAAGATTGGCCGAGGCTACGCCTTGGCCGGTGGTGGTGTTGGTGGCCGTGGGACCCCCCACACTATCCCGGTTCGGCCCTCCTCCCGACATCGTTTCCTTGTTGCTGAAGTAATCCACGTTGCCGCAGGGCGAGAAAATGGAGGGCTCCGTCTTCGTGCTCTTTTCGGGATTCCCCAGTGTGGTGTTTGCCACCGCACTGGAGGTCAGAGACTCGCTTTCCCCCAACAATTCGGCCCTCAACGAGAGATAGCGCCTTGCGTACTCATCAGACTTCGCGCGCAATTTATTCTTCAGCCAAAACCGCGTCATGTCATCCAAGGATTCCACAAAATAAACCCATGGCTGCTGGTGGTTGTATTTACTCAGGATGGTGGGATCTTGGGATGCGGATGCCGCCGCGCGCTTTCGCTCGGCTCGGCGCTTGGTGAGAAATTCCACCGCAAACTTGCAGGGGCTGTCGCGTAAATAGGAATATTGAAAGATATACGCGCACAAGGTGCCCACCACACGCCGCGTCTGAGGCGGGACCTCCTCCTGAGTCACCAAAAACAACAGCTCCTTCGCGATTTGCTTAACAAAGGTGATTCGTTTTTCCATATTCCGATGGATCTCTTTGTTCTGGCTGTCATTATAGGTGCTGTCGGGGGTCGCGGGGCTGCGTTTGGGGATGTCCAGACGGTCGTGGAGGCCGGAAATGGCTCCGGAAAGCGGCGGCGACAGCATCACGGACTGGTGTTTGGCCCTCACGAGGGTGTTGACGAGCAGCTTGGCGAGCTTGGCACCGGTGTCCTCGGCGCTGTCGGGGTGATTCGCGAGATTTACCATGTCCTCCTCCAACCGCTCGGCATTGAGATCGAAGGTAGAGAGCTGGGTTTGAATACTGCACAGCAGGTCCTCAAGGCTGACCAAGGGCGCACATGGGGTTGAAAAGGGCGGCGTTCCCCTTTGGGCTTGTTGAGGGGGCAGATCATTCTTGGCCTGCCGCACGCTGCTGACCCCGGCGGATCGAAAGGCCGTCACGATCTGCTCAATATTTCGGGTTCCCGGTGCGATGGTTGCCTCATCAAAGGTCGATTCCTTCCAGGTCGAATAGGACGCATTTAAGTTGTTTTTATTCCCAATGTGTGTAAAGCTCGACTCGGGACGGGCAAGATAGCGTGTTAGGAGTGGGCGGTTTTGGCCGTTCGGCACGAAATCATTAAAGCGACTGGCCGCTTCCATGGCCATTCCCTGGGATGAGAAAAGCGCAACCCCACTGCGGCGGGGCTTGCCATCAAACATGACAACATCTGGATATAAGTCAGTGTAGACGGCGCCATTGGGATAAAAAATTTCGTGCAGATTTTTTTGATCAGTTTGAATGTCTAGTTTATGAACTGCAACCATGTAATAATCCTTATCAGCAAATTTGTTTAAAAAGTACGAATCAATGTGTGCGAAAATAGCGACATTATCATTTGCAGATGTACTGGTACACGATAATGAAGTCGAGGGAGTATTGCCCGCTCTCGATACCTTTTTCGGTTGGCTTCCCATGGTAATGGCGGTGGCAAAATTGAGCGATGGGGTTATTCGGGGGATTGTATCCTTCAGGTATTGATCCCCAACGCAGGGGGTGTCCCGATTAGAGGAGATATGGTGAGATTGGCGTTTGGGTGGCCCAAGGAGGCATAAACAGACCTTTTGTTGTTGTCCCTCTGGAATGCAGTTATTAAGATCCCGCACCGCCGCCTTCGCTACGTATTCCGAAGTATACCACACCACCGCACTGACGCTCCGACAGCGCCAAGGGATGGAATACTTGAGTTGGGGCAGGAGCTGAAGATTCGTTGGGGGCCACCGCTCACAGCTGTGAATATCCTCTGTTAAGACGTTCTTTTTAAGGACTCGAATAGCGGAACTGCTGCACAAGCCGTGAATGGCAACCATATAGTGCAAGGGCTCCCCCAGGTGATCGTAAATCAACCGCATCTCCTCATGAACTTTATCCAAATCCATGGCCGGCAAAATCCATGGAAGCTGGTTATGCAGGCCTGGGTTTGAGGCTGGGTTAGGGTTAGGGTTCATGACTGGGACCGTGGTGTTGTTGGGAGGGATCGGGGATCCCGGGTCCGGGCCGCAGTATCGCACCGTGAGCTGCTGATGTTGACCATTAGGAACGAAATTGTTTAACTTTTCAACCCCCAGCATAGCAAAGTCTTTTTCCAAAAAGAACACCACCCCAACCCCACGGCGAACAAATAAGCTAATGGTATTGAAGATCGAATAAGGTATGTCATTCACGGTGAGCATTATCGCCTCGGAGGCGCTCATTGCTGAAAAGATATTCAGCAGATCCTTGTCGTTTGTGTGATTTTCCAAATTCAGCACCGCCACCATGTGGAGCTTCTGCTCCTTGCACTTGAGCATGTAGGTCGTGCGGAGATGACCAACAAGCCTCTCCACCGTCTTCTCATCTGAGCTTATGGCGTGGTTTATGGGCGGATCAGGCGGCATCATCACCCGGGACTGCCGCTCCATCCCGAGGACATTCCAGGAAGTGGTATAATCGCTCGCGAGCGCCGGGGTCGGCATGTTGGGAATCATCCGATGGGATGCCATGGCAAACAGAGCGGCCGCCCGTGAGTCGGGTATCATTGCACCATACAAAAAGGAGGAGGTGCCGTTTGTCGGGAGCTCGAACTCCTTGGCGGCGGGGTTTAGGGTGCGGCCTGGTGGTTTGTTAGGGTTATTTACATTCACTGCGGAGGAGGAAACGGTAAAGGATGGGACAGATGGGGGGGTTTTGGTCTCCTCAATGGTTGTATTTGACCCCGCGTGCGCAATTGGGGGTTTGAAAACGGGATTCGAAGGCGGTAACTCCGCCGGTAAACTATTTGACGAGGTCGATCGCGAAAAATGCACCGACGACGGCGTCCGAGAGAGCGAAGAGGGGTTTGTATGTTTGCTCACGGAATGACGTCGCGGTGCGTGGGATGTGTTATTACTCCTCAAATTTAACTTACGGGTCATCATAGATCAACAGTTCTTTCGAGTTGTACGGTGGGAAAGTAATAATAATAATAGTAATAATAATAATAAAGAGATAATCGAACTGTAAAATATAAAGTAAAAATATAATATTATTTAAACCTAATCAACAACAAAAATGACTACCGTATATTTAAATATATATGTATACACATATATATATATATATAGCAAACTGGAAGAAAGTACGTATACGGCGGAACAGATCCTAGGATTATGACTTAGAGGATTGTCCTTATAAATTTCAATAAACTCTGTGTATTTTTTTTTACTTTCGATGAACTTATTTGACTTCAATTTCTTATTTTCATAAGGTTTGATATATATAGATTATGAAAAGTCCGTGTGTGTTTTTATTTATAAAAATAAAATATTCGGTATCACCTTATTAACTCTTTTTTTATCTTTAGGTGTTTTATGCACAAAAAGGTAAGGACAATCAAATATTGTGTACAAAGAGCAAGTGATGTGTATCTAAAAGACAAAAGTACAGAGAGGGGGGAATTTTCTATTTTGCTTTGTTCAAAAAGAGATTTATTCTCAAAGTGAACGGTGTACACACGTTTATATTTCAAATATCCACGTGTGAGTAGCTTTACCTTTAGATTGAATGAATAGAATGAAAAGAGAAATCCTATATCAATTTTTCCAAGTGTGTGTGGGTGTGTTTTATCTACGCTTTGATTTAACAGGAAAACTATATTACTTGAAAGGTTGTAGGTATTGAGAAAAAGATCACTTCCCCCTTCAAAAGTATGGTCTAACAAATGAAAATACTATTCTTCTTATTTTCCAGCTCAAAAAATTGTACGGTACCTCTTTATCAGAAAATAAAGAAGTCCAGTAACTCCTGATGTATATTTTGTTTGGCAACAAATACTAAAAAATGTGCAAAAAAAAACTCACAATTTTGTACCACCAACGAAAAAGAATCAACCAAACTACAATTTTTTTTTTTTAAGTTACCTAAAGCAAGAAAACTAACTTTATGAAAGCTTGAGGTTAAAACCTCTCGAATAATACTTAATATCTAAGCTTAGCAGCCTATAAATTAAAATATCAAGAAGATTCATTTAAAAGGATGTTAGAGGATCATAGAATGGAAAAATAAAGAGACATCAATACGATGCAATTGTAGCAAAAGATCATAGTTGACATTTTTTTTATGAGTGCATTTTTTTTCAATACATTCCACCTGCCTTGTACATATCTAAGGAGTTGATTTATCGATAAGCTGCGGGAAGTAAAAAAAAACTCTGACAGTCAATAATTTTTTATCTTTACATTATTTTGATGCTGTTTTGCCTTTTTTTGGTCTACTTTCGCGACATAAAACGATCGTAAAAATCATCCTCGTCAGAATCATCATCTTGAAGCCCGCCTTCTAAGGATTGCTGTTGCATCTTTTCTTCCTTTTTCACCATAATGTACACGTGGTAGTGTCCGGTGGGACTTGTATCGGGTGAACAAAACATGGGTTTTTCAATTGATCTATGCTCTACCTCGAAGAATAATTTCTTGCGCCGGAAATGATCGATACGGGTTTCCGGTGACCCGTAAGAGACTGCTATGTAGGAACCGCCCTTCTTTAGTAAGTTCGATATATTTTGATTGAAAATGTGCACGTTATGAAAGGAGTTACCTCCACCAAGAATACAATCAACTAGTCCTTTGTCAATAACAAAATCAAACAATTCTTTATTGGGGCACAAATCTTGAATAAGCTTATCGATTGGCGTTGTCAGTAAATCTAAACATATCCACTGCATCTTATCCATTTCGGCGTACCGGCGCTGCATTTGGCCAATGACTGTCGGCGAAATATCCACATTTGTGATATTTTTGATCCCAAGATGCTCGTATAAACACGCGGAAAGACGGCTATTTCCACAACCCACAATGAGTACCCGAATTTGATCGGCAGGTTGTAAAAGCGGCTGGATAATCGGCTTCAGGTTATCATACGTCAGAAACCAGTCGAAGATGGTATCACTGCTGCGATATCTCTCCTCCCAATACTCGGGATTGGAGTACTTGGACATGTCTTGTGAACCAGTAAGTTTTTCTTTCCCCAATTCGCCAGGAAAATATTCTATTTTGTGCTTATGTGGGGAAAAAAAAGAGAAGTAAATAAAAGAAGATTTATTAATGGAGTTGTCATACATACTGAACAGAAGCTGTGTTATGGATCATGATGTGGTTGGCTGTGAGTCCAAGTCTCAGCTCAACGGAAAAGCAGAAACATTTAGTATTTTTCTATGTACACGAAATTTCTATGTTTTTGAAAGGGCACTATCTATGGAAATTCTGATGCTAAAATTTTTTATTCCAGTAGTATAACACAAAATGAAATTCTTTCCAGGTTCCGAAAGCAGAAAGATTCTTTCATGTCGAAAAAAAGTGAGCGATAAAAAGTAAAAACATCGATTTTACTTAGGAGAAAATCAGTTATCTCTCTCTATGGAGATATACTGTGGACGCATGATATATGTATTTAAAGGGCAAATAAATAAGGGGAAAACGTTACAAAGAGGGGCCTTTCGATTTTATATTCCCTGAACTGTAAACTAAGTTATGTAGTAGTTTTGTGTTTGAAATTCTATACAATTTATTATTTTAGTGAATATATATATATATATATGGCTTGGAGCGAGAAGGATATCTTTGAAACCACGACATAATGTTTACACACAAATCATTAGGCCGCTACTACAGCGGCGGAGGCTTCCTTCAAAGTAATCTTAATATCACTCGAGTTTACCTCCTGATGCGCGTCCAGAAGCTGCCTAGAGGCCAAGACAAGCAGATCAACAAACATACGCGCGGCATCCCGCTTGCCCAAGCCATTACACACACTTTTTAGCGTGCATGAGCCCCCCATGGTGGATTCCGGGCTGGCGACCCGCGGCCTCTTCGCCGGTGGTTGGGGAGAAGACAGCGATGAGACCTCGTCGCGAATCCGCTTCAGCGTCCGAACGGCGCTGGCAGAAAGACTTGTGGAGTCGTCAGTTCCGTCGTCTGGCTCGTCGCTCTGGCGTGCGCGCTTGTAGGCGTTTGCCTCTGGGCTTGTGGATGGGATGATCTCGTCGTTAATTTCGGGGAGGGCCGGACCGCGGGCCATCGGATCGACGCCATGCCCTGGGCCAGTCTGCAAGGCCCGCATTGCCTCCTCAATCGCTTTCAAGGTGTCCGGATGAAGCGCAGAGGTGAACGCGGCTCGGAGCGAGGGATTCGACTGAATCGATTTCATCGTGATATCGGCAATCGGCAAGGAATCGGTAATCGGCGTAGAACTTGCCAGAACGGGGTCCTCGGGATTGGGAAGGTTCGCCACGAGGTAGCGCTCGTGTTGTTCCTGGGCGTCCAAGGGCCCTCGTCGGTAGGTTTTATTCAGCACGCCACTGCGATCGGACATAAACATTTCAAACGCCTCCCGAGGAAGCGTTGTGGCGGCCAGATCGAGAATATTCGCAGGGCGAGCTTTTTTGATAGCCACCCGTGCGGTGGTGGGCCCTGACGCCGCGGCCTCTTCAGTATCCGCCATCGTAGGTAAGGTGAACAGATCCTCCGGGACGTAGCCCGGGACCTGCGACCCGAGTGCGTGGTATAATTCCCCCGGGGCTTCGTCTGGCAGAGGGATCCCAATATCGAGCTCATCCGTAAGGGGTGGATAGGGAATAGCTCTTTCGCCTTTAGCCGCATCGACCGCGGCTGCTGCGCTTCCACGACCTTTTTCGATACTCGACAAGCTAGATTTGCTCTTGCTCGCACTGCTATCACTGGCGCGCTCGTGAAAGGTCATTAAATCGGCGCGCATCTTTGCAATCTCATCATAATCCTGCTGAGAACCGTGTGGGCCGTCGGAAATCTGAGAAGTGGGCTCGACCGTGTACCACACCGAAGCGAGCAGTCCATCGCCTTTATGCAATCCTTCAACATGCTGGGCGCCAAGAAGATCGGCAATGGCGTCGAAACGGCCCTTACCAAAGGCGTCTGCCGCCTCCGAAAAGGATCCGTACTTTGTTAACATCTCTTTTCCCCAGGCAAGTGGGACTGTCTCCATATCTCCTTTTGGATTCACTAACATGCCGTTCGCGGCTGCGGCCTTTTCGACCGCCATTGACAAAGTGCAGGCTGCTCCCCCGGTCGCGGCTGCCTCTTTTAAGGTGTTAGAGGTCGTCACCCGCAAGAAAATTGTGGCTTCGGTGGCTTCCTTTAAAAGATACTTCACCTTAAGGGCGTAAATTCGCACCACACCGACTAAGAGCTCACCCGATGTGCGCAATGCAATGGGAACCACTGGGCGTACAATATGCATAATAGTCTGGCCAAGATCGACAACTTTAACCTCATTACGTGTTAACCGCTTATCCCAGTGTGCCGCGAGCCATACCTTCGCCAAAGGGCCTTTCTTTGTGAGAACATAAGTAGAGAAAAACATACTTTTTCTTCCCAACCAAGTATGATAGACAAAGTGTAGCGCTAAAAGAAAAAAGAAAAAACGAGTCTATATACCCACCTACTTTTATAAACTGTTAGGGATACCAAACAGAAGAGAATAAATTTAAAAAAAAAAGAAAAGGAACAATATATGAAATAAGAAGAAATTAATTCGATATGGACATAAAACACGAGTGGACATTTTTTCATCATTTAGGTTTGTCTTTTGAGTTACATATTTGTCTATCTACATTTCATAAAGCTACAAAGTAAACCCCTGCTATTCCTTTTTCTCCAGCTGTCAAGAAGAAAGCTGGCCATTTCGAAGAAGAAAATGGATAACAGATCGTTACTACATCAACAAGAGCACTTATACAGAAGGAAAAAGATACTCAATATGTTTAATCATCTTTCTCAAAATCTCCTTCGAGTGCAGCTTTGGCGTCATACAAAGGTTGCATTTCAGGTCTCGGCCTGACAGGGGGCAAAATCGGAGTTGGTGGCCGTTGATTAGGGGCCGTTTCCAGTGGTGATATAATTCCTTCCCTAGAAACGTGAACAAATTCCGAAACCACACTTCCAGTTGTGACGTCAGTGGGTATATTTTGTACGGTGCTGAGAGGCACATATTTGAATGATGGCAAAGACTCAAACGTTTCTTCGAGCCTTGATAAAGTATCAGGATGAAGCACCTGAGCATACATCCAAATATCACAGTCTTCTGTGCTGAACGCCCCCGAGGGCTCCGTTAGGTGCTTCAGGGTACTCTTATTAATGTCGAGGCGTAACGCAGGCATCACGGATCGAATAACTTCACCTTCTACACGTCCGTCAGCAGTCCACCGCACCTCAGGCAAGCCATATGCGGTATCCGTCGTCGAACCTTTGCTCCCAGTGTTGGTATTCATCGGAAGGCTCTCAAGAACCACCAGAGGCTCCTCATCGACTACCAGCACCAACAAAAGTCGCATGGAAGACTCTCTTAGTGTGATAATCCTCTCTTCTTCGCTGAGTTCGGTGTTAATCCGAACGCCTTCAAAGTTGACCAGAAGTGGCCGTATTTTAATCTCAATCACTTGGTTGTAATTGTGTTGAGCAACCTTAATGGCAACCACTTCCACACGTTTCAGAATGACTTTACCCGAAGAGCCAGTTGACAAAGAAGATAACCAACGCTGGAATGGCGTGAAGTTAGCCACTTTAACCAAATCGACTATGGTATATTTTTCCTCAGATAATAAAGCGGCTCCAAATTCCATTGGTACACGTGGACACTTATCCTGTCCTGGCACAACCACCTCAAGAAATGGATCTAGCTTTGTGCACTTCTTAATTTCACCTGGAATCCATCGGCCATTTTGATAGATTCCCTCTTGCATAAAGCTGCCAGGTTTTATTCCACACCGGTGCACAAATACCCCGGCTCCTACTGGCACGTCTTTTATGAAACTGCCCACAAAACACACGGTGCCACATGCCAGTCGCCACTCCCCAGAAACAAAATCGTTATGAAAAAAACTACCAAGATATGATGATCCGTCTGTGAAGTTGTATCGGCCTCTGCCGTGTTTCTCATTGTTTACCCACATACCATCGTAGTTGCTACCATCCACGTAGATATAACGTCCTTGGCCGTTTTTTGAATCATTCGTCCAGTGACCCAGATAGCGCGAGCCGTCCGGGTACACCATGCGACCGTAGCCATGACGCAAATTTCCAACCCAGTCCCCACAGTACAGAGCGGAAGTCTGTGACCACCAGTAAATCCCTTTACCGTGGCGCTCGTTTTGCCGGTACAAGCCCGCGTAGCAGTCCCCAGTCGGAAAGAGAGTTTGCCCAAGCCCCTCCTTTGTCCCATCTCGCAGCCGTGACCCAAAGTACACGCCGAGCTCCCCAATCCGCTTAACTAGGCCAACACCACGGTCTCCCCACTGCTCGTGAAACTCCTCTAGCGAGTTGTACACTAGCTCCGCAGGGACGGCCTCCACATAATCTTCGTCGTTTTCGTCCTCCTCGTAGTCTTCTTCATCATCATTTTGTTGCTGCGCACGCAACGCCATTCGCTCGACCCTTTCATTGTCACGCTGCCTCTGACGCTCGGCAACCTCTTCGGCTGTGGGGAGCTCAGGTCGCATCTCATCCCAGCGGTCATACACGACAATCTCGTCGAATTCAGGGTCAAAAGCAAAGGCACCACGTTGAAGACGCCTCACGAGGTACTCGGAAAGCATGAAGTGGTTGTTCAGGGTACACCATTGGAGCAGAGTTTGTTGTGTGACAGGATCCTTCACTAAAACTAACTGCTGTAACTCTTCAATATCTTCTACATTGTTTAACAATCGTAGAAGCATACTTAAACGTGGGGAGCGCTTCGATAACTTTAAATAATCTTCGACTTTTGTTTTCAATGGAGAAGTTCCAGGGCTTTCTTCATCAGAAGACTCTTCGTTATAGTGTGGATGAATAAGCTTCCATATTTGTGGCAGCTCCAAGGCAACCTCCTCACCATCGTCAGACATTGGCACAGAAAAATTGCAAAACACCTTAGGTTTACTGTATTTGTACGTAAGAAAAGAAAAGGTTGTACGGGAAAAACTGGAAAATTATTATCTCAGCGCGGTACAATGCAAAAAAAACTTAGTATTGACAAACAACAATTAGAATATATTGAAATATAAGGTAAGGTCCAAAAAGGGATACGTATCCTTTGTCCGCCTTTGCATTTACTATAGCCGGCGTGTAGATAAGATACGGAAGTTTACATGACAATGATTACAAATTAGTGTAGGGATAATTTTTATAATATCATTTTATGATATATTTACATTTTTGCGAACTTAATTAGTATTATCACTGCTGGATAAAAGAATATAATTCCCGTTCTAATCGATAATTATGGAACCTCGGCATCTGGTCTCACAGGTATTTGTCTAGAGAAGTGTTGACGTTCACGCTGATCACCTTCATAATTGAATCTTTCGATGGGGACACTCTTTGTATACCCCATTTCTCTGGGATCGGTTCCAAGTTCACGGAACTCAATCCTGTGGATGTCATGAATGTCCACATGCGTTAGACTGTCGTTTTTGTGCTGATAAAAAATACCCTCCTCTTTTTCATGCGCTTGGTGGTCTTCAAGATGACCAGTGCTTGCTGAAATACCAAAGTGATACCCAAGGGGAATATTAACTGGAAACACTTCCCCACAGAGTGTCTCCTTGTAAGTTCGGTGGATATCAATTGTCTCGGCCTTGTTCGCCATGTTTCTGTTTGCTGCTCTGATAATTTTTCGTTTCGTTATATCTTCACGTTGAATAATTATGGAAAGTTTTTTTTCATAATAACGGATTATTAGCTCAGCAGGCTCCTCATGGGCGTTAAGTGCCAAAGTTTCTTTATCAACATCTTTCTTTGACGCATACGACCCAATTGGCAACTGGCGGAAATCATACTCGCATCGAAGAATAGGCGAAAACTTACGAAAGTTTAACTGCGTTCCATCAAAGTTATTATGTATGGCTGTACTAGATTCAGTCGTGTGATCTGGTAAGTTAAGTAGCAATGAAATACTAGACTTGTGATGGTGTCTAATTGCGTCCCCTTTTTCTTTGTGTTCATATTCATCACCAACAGAATCTAGCACAATCGCAAAGCCCTTACAGAAATCCGAGTATCTTACACCCATGATACGGGGTTCACGATCTGTGTCATCTACAGATGCGCCTCTTTTAAAAATTTTCCTGAATAGCGCATTACGCTGAGTTTGTTTGAGTTCCCTGCGCTCATTTGCGCTGTCACGTTTTTTTTTCTCCTCTTCAGTCAGATCTTCGTCAGGTAAACCGGCATAGTCGTCAAATTCTTCTTCGTTTGTGTTAAGAATAGTGTCAACGATCCTCCAAGGGTCTTCTTTATCACGCATTTCTAAATCTATCTCGCGAGTAATGGGTTTACTGTACTTCAAAACATGCTGATGATCATCACCAATTGGCTGTTGCAAATACCAAATGGCAATACCATCGCCACCTTGGTATGCAATTCCGCTAGCATTCGAACGCAAGGCTGGGACTGGTGGGCGAACAGAGAACTTAATGCGAGCCTCCCAGTTGTCATGATCCATCGGCGCAGTGTTGAAAGCAAACCCATGATCATCAAGATTGTTGCTGGTAAGACGAATGAAATTCGTACTTGCAATCGCTGATCCACCAATCATGAAATGAGGAATACCTTCTTCCCACCAGTCATGAACCAAAGGCGATTGAAGGCTATGCTCATGCAACAACGGACCACGAATTACACCACGGGGCAAATCTTCGCCATTTTTATTGGATTTCACCAGCACCGGGATGACAATCAGAAAAAGAAAAGTAATAGATAAAATCGACTTCATTAGCATATATGAGACGCTTAAAAAAAAAAGGTACTGTGATTTATTATTGGAGAAATAAAAGTAGATATTAGGAGTTACAGTTAAAAAATGTAACATATTAATAATATCATCTTTAAAACATTACTGACACAAGATCAATACAATATCCTTTTTTTGCATTCTAATATTATAATTAGACACAAGCAAAAAAAAAAGAATTTATCAAAATCAAATCGTTTTTTTTTACCAGAATGTTATAAATTTCTCCCGATAAGATAGAGATTTGTTTGGAGCATTATAAACGAAGGATATAATATAATGCAGGATTATGTTTAGAAATCGTTAATAAAAAATAACCATGAAAATAAAAAAAATAAGCAATAAAATATTCACTCATCAAAATTTTGTCTTTTGTGTGAAGATACAATGTACTCCTTAGAACGCATTTCACAAAGCCTTGAAATACAGCGCTGCATTTGAAAAGATAAATCGGAATAATCTGCAAGATCTTCCACTGTTTCTTTTTCTTTATCAATTAGTTGATCTAATCGCTGCTTATCATCAGCAAAGATCTCTACAGAATCATCTTTACTAGCCTGAAGCTTGAAGAGCTCCGCTTGCGCATAAATAATTACTTTACAGCGGTATTCATACAATGAATCAATTAATAAAAGAAAACGATTTTTAACATCGCTGTCCTTGTAGGAAAAAATCGGAACACCACGAATAAAGACTGTATGATAAGTTGCAGCTATTAATTCATAATCGGCAGACGAAACATCTGCCCCACATATTTCAGAGAAATCAAAACAACACACACCATCACATGCACTTGGTATAACTACATCTCTCCCAAAAACTTTTAGAATACACTTTGATGAAGGCATTCCCTTGCATAAGGTATTATACAATTGAGCAAATTTTTTGTCATTTTCTTCAGTAAAGGGAGTTAGATAAGTGTCACCCTCCTGGCCTAGCAAACGATGATCAGTATTGCTCGAAAGAAAGAAAACATGTGTTTGTTTTTTTACAAGATCAATAAATGGCAAAAACCCTCCTCGATTCAGGCCACCGAGGTAGAGGTCGTCTGGTGGCCTATTAGAAGTAAAGATAACAACCAGACCTATTTTATAAAAGGAATTAAAGAGTCGTTTTAGGATCATAGCATGCGCGACATCAGAAACTGCAACTTCGTCGAAGCATAGAAGCTCCACATCGCTGATTAAACGCTGTGCTAACTCATCAAATAAATTTATCTCTGAACCTGGTGTCCGTTTTAGTCTACTATCAGTGTTATAATTAATCATATTTGAGCGGTTGTTTATATCCTGCATGTCCTCCTTGGTATTGTAGCGAATATTATGGGATGTTTTTTGAACATCAAGCATGAATTGATGGAAATGAATGCGCTTTTTTTTAATCCCCAGGGGCAGATTATCGTAAAGAAGATCCATAAGCATCGTTTTTCCACATCCAACAGTACCCCATACATACAATCCTTTTACATTAGACAAAGGATGGTAGTTATCGATGGTATCTTTATCATTTGTGGTTGAGGCAAGGGCTCTAAGAACTTTTTTCGTTTGTTCCTGATAAAGAAAAAACGATGGTATTATACCCAAACGATTTGGTGGGCGAAGCTCTGTTTGCCTTTTAGGAACTCGATTGATTTTCTCGTTTTGTTTAAATTGAACCAGATCATCAAATAGTCTGTCAAAAACAGGTAAAGCTTTTATTTGATTATCGTCGGATGTTATTTTTCCCAACGATACTAATTGTTTGTAAGCCTCTGAAGGTTTTTTCGAAAAAAATAAAAATAAATTACGGAACATGTTTCTCCTAAAACAAGACACCCTTCTGTATGAACTTTCAAACACTGGAAAATACAAGGACATAATAAATAAATTAATGAAGGTTAATTCAAAACTTACAGGGTAAGACTGATTAATTTTTCGAATGACGTTTTGAAATACAAATACATGGTAAATAATAGGATAAAATGTATAGTTTAACTACATTTTAACATATCCATTAAAAATACTGTGTGTTGATCTAAGACAAGATCACTTATCCATAATAGACAATTACCATGAAGCCTTCTAAAGCAAGTAGTAGATTAATAGATATTAAATCCCTCAAGCTGCAAGATAATACATTCTAAAAAAAAAAACCTCGTTTGTTATACATTATGTATATACTTTACCTTTATGAAAATTAGAATATGGTGCAATTCAAATTTTGGATTGATAAAAATTTACCTGAGAATTTTTTAACATGTCACATTTATTATATATATATATATATATAGGAAGGTAAATATGGCTTTTTCACCTTTTGTTGTCACTAGATACGGTAATTCTTTTCACAGAATTATTTTTCATAATATAATGGACAGGCGAAGATTAAAACTGTTTATTATAGACGAGAAGATGATAATAAAAATAGATGTAGTTTTCTTGAACTCATTTTTTATGTAAAATTCATTGGTGTCTTGAGTAAACTAAAGCATCGCTATTATTTTCTCTAGGTTAAGTGTTAAAGATCTCCTTTTTAGTACCATTATCGTTGTCTATTTATTTATTGTTTCATTGAGGCTTTAACTTTAATAAAAATAAGCTGAATTTTATTAATTTTAGTATTCGACAGATATAAATAATCAATATTTTTTTTAATATTTTAAATTAATTTTTATACATAAATGCAAAATCTCTGATTTTCTCGACGACTTCGCATTTTCCACACTTAGCTCGATAAATTTTACTTGAAAATTGTGAAGTTTTTGTTCGAACCATTTTTTCTTTTCTAAGTTACTGACCATAGATTAATCTTTAAAAAATTAAGAAAATTGCCCATGGTAACTCACTTCTTTTCCTTTTGCGTTTTTTGCACAAATTATTGATAAATTAATCCACAAAATTACAATATAGAGAATATTTTGATTATTTATTTAGAAATAAGATTTTATATTATTTTCAATAAAAACATGGATTTTTTTCAGAATATCCCGCCAGCTAAAGCACGATTTTTTTGTTTTATAAGTATTACAAAAAAAAAAAAAGAGAAAAAAGAGGTTTCAATTTCAATAATAATCAACTCAACCACTCTTTGAAGTTTAGCGTGAGGCTCAGTTTAGGAAAATATGGCATGTCAAATGGCGAACCTACAGAAAGCACGCGATATCATAATAAAAGGGAGGTTTGCAAGCCCTGTAATGCGCGCCGCCGTAATTAACCCCGAAGTGCAGTAAAATATAAATTGAAGACCATATGTGAATAATGGCAACTTGGCTGTAATATTGAAAGAAAAAAGATACTAAATAAAGTAATTCACTACATTTAAAAATATTATATTTAAGTTTTAGAAAAGGAAAAGCTTTTTTTTACCGAGTTGTGGGCGCTATAAAACACCTTTTTTTCGCATTCTTGATAATTACATATTTTTAATTGTAAAGTTGATGCGCGGAAACTATTTTGAACGTTTTGTTGCACTGGCCACGATGTTTTTGTGAATAAACTACATCAAGGCCACAGTTTTTATCTTTTGCAAGCGCTGTGGTGGGCCACAAAACAAATCCCATCTAAGCTCCTAACGCCCATCTTCCTTTGTTCTTTGGATAAAGGGAAGGATGGGGAAGGGGAGGGAGAGAGGACGCTTAAGCTGTAAATAGGACTCTAAAATTCTTAAGTGCATAACTTTTTCAAAAAAAATATGTATTGGAATATTTGTAAAGCTTCTGAAGCGAGGCTTTATGTTTTGTTGTTAACCGACGAGGTTCACTAATCGGCGCTATTTGCCAAATGAATGTTTAAATTCATGTAGGTCAAAAAGAAAAGTAAGTCAGATATGATTTTTAAAAAGATGCACGATATTCTCCACGACCAATGAATCTTAGTTTAGGATTCTTTATCTTTTTCGTTTTGTTTTATCACTTTAGTAAAACTATAAGTTTTCGATCCAATGCGCAGGGCAGCTGTCTTTCTCCAGTATTACAACCAAAGTGGTGTTCCTATTCCACATGCTGTTCAAAAATCATCTGATTCTTCAGCAACCTCTAATTTGGTTAAAAAAATGAAGCCGCAAGCTCAAAAGCGTCTTATGGATCCCTCCCTTTTTATTGAAATACCACCTCGAAATAAAATTTTGAATATTGTTCCTCAAGGTCATGAGCACGTTGTTGAACGTCTAGGTCGTTACCATCGAACCTTAAACTCAGGCTGGTGGTTTGTTATACCAATAATCGATAAGATTCGATACAATTATAATGTTAAGGAACAAGGTATTGATATTCAAAATCAATCAGCCATTACATGCGACAATGTTATAGTCGAGATAGATTGTGTGCTCTTCCTAAAAATTGTAGACTCCAAAAAGGCAAGCTACAATATTGAAAATCCAGTGTATAACTTGATTAACTTGGCTCAAACAACCATGCGCAGTGAAATCGGTCGTATAACTCTTGATAATCTCTTTCGTGAGCGAGGAAGTTTGAACGAAAATATTATCGGCTTAATTCGCAGAGAAGCTCAAGAGTGGGGGATTGAATGCAAGCGTTATGAAATCAAAGATATTATTGTCAGTGAACTTGTACGTCAATCGATGGACTTGCAGGCTGAAGCTGAGAGACGAAAACGCAAATTCGTTCTTGAAAGTGAAGGAGAAGCAACAGCGGAAGCAAACAGGGCTACAGGTCTAAAGACAGCCCAACAATTGGCAGCAGACGCTCATAAATACACAATCCTGAAGAAAACAGAGGCTGAGGCCGAAGCAATTCGGTTAAAAGCAGAAGCGATGTCAGATAACATTGCTATAATTTCAAAGGCTATAGAGGGAGCAAAACATAGCAATGAGGCGATTTCCTTACATGTAGCCCAAGACTACATTAATAAATTTGGTGAACTTGCAAAGGAGACAAATACAGTTGTTATGTCTCAACCAATTAGCGATCCTTCTGTTTTTACAACACAAGCCCTATCAGTTTTTAACGCAGTGGCTACTTCAGCTTCAAAAAAGAATCCGACAATCAAGTAATGAACATCATTACTTCAATGAAAGTCTGTTTTACCTGGATTCTTGAAATGATGATAAACCTTGATATCAAGTATAGTCCTATAGCGTATAAAACATATAGGAATTCTATTCAACAATACTTTTATCCCAAATGTACATAGAACTTTTCGAATATGGGGAAGAATTATAAGTAATTCACTATTGACCTTTTTTTTCCATTTTCCATAGAAAGGAAATATTCAAAAGCAGTATAAATCTTCCCTGATATGTTGCAAAGGAGTATTTTGTTTGCACGCCAAAGAGGCTTGCTGATGTGCGGCAATATCGTAAGAGGCGTACTTGAGAAAGAAGGTGATTCATCTCAAGAGATTGAAGACCATGTAAAAAACTTTAAAATGAAAGAAATGACTCATCATCCTCGTTCTTCTGAGGAGTATAGGGGCAGCACAAAGGGTTCAGAAGTTGGAGCACGCAATGAGGCAGCCTTCATGAACTACAGTGAAGTTTATCCCAAAACACTCACAGGTATGTTCGCTATGCCGGGAGTTGTTAATTTGTTAACTGTTGTGCCACTTTACTGTTTTTTAATATGTTTGGCTTCCGCCGCATGGGGTATTTTTTATTGGGATCTTTATTGTCAAAAACACTACGAGTGTGTTCTAATATCTAGGCCTAATGCTTTAAGAGCCGAAAAACATTGAAAATAAGTGTTAGACACTTTACTTTAATCAAAAAAAAAGTATATCATATATTTTTTCTTTATATAGATAGATATCGCTATTCATTTGTAGTCGAATCCCAAAACTAACAATATTTTAGTGCCTTGGAAGCTTTATTATCTTATAGGACTTAGTAACTTTTTGAATATATTTGAAGGAGTCATTTTAACTCCAAACAGTTTGATATAACAACGAAATAAAAAGTTTACATTTTACCTTATTACTCGGTATGAATTACCTATAGTGGTATAGAGATCAATGAAATGCGTAAATTGGAGTGTAATCAAGCATTAGATACTCCGATTTATTTTATATTCATTTACTCATCTTTATTTATTCATTTACTTTAATCAGAAAATAAGAGTTAACCAACTTAAACGATAATATATTTATTAGGATGAAAATTGTTCCCAAAATCGAGCGCTTGCAGCAGATCCTCCATTCTACTGACATACCACGGTCCTACCTTCATAATTCTCCCCAGGAAAATTCTCTAATAGAGTTCACGGAAAAGTTCGAAATAACTTTTCATAAGTATTTCCCGAAGCGAAAGTTGTTGCTCCTCTTGG